TTGGTCCCTAAATGTTAACTAAACGGCGAAGCTACCAAGGGCCTGAAATACGGCCGAGCGTAGTAATTAATAACTTTAGAGAGAGTGTGACCAAATGGCGAACGCACGCTAGTCAGAATCTCTGGCACTAAAGAAGTCAGTGGAACTTTAACTTAAAACTGCTCTTCCTTCAAATGCATTTAACCGCGATTCTAAACACACACTGCTGCCGGAAATTTTAAGCTGAAATAAGAAGGAATAGGAAAGTAAATTTAACTAAAGATAACTGTTAAAAACTTATTATAAACTTTACAAAATGCTGGAAAAATGCGTATGATTTAATATTCTGTACAAGGAAATCATGTGTTGCACACATCAGAAATTTTAAAACGCTATCGTGTGATTAAATTTTGCGATCTGAAGACTTACCCTATTTGAATCATTTCTTAAATGACCGAACTTTCAAATTATGTTTAGCCATGCTGTTCAGTTTTAAAAATGTTTATGCCATATTTTATCTTTTTTCTATAGATGGCGCTGCCTTCGCGCCAGATGTTTAATTCGTAATGTATTTTTTTAATTTTGCCGTATGTGTGTGGCAACAGATTAAATAAAACCAAACGACTAGTATTCGATACTAAGAAAGAATGAACTCATTGTAAACAATTCTAACAGCTGATAAAGTCTAAATCTTATTCAATTCTATGAATCTTTTTACTGTGTCAAATTCAAGTATTTCCAGGTAAATATAAGTCGATGAAAATTCAAGGTAAGCTATTTAATAATTATTAATTATTGAACTGATGAAAATTCAAGGTAAGCTATTTAATAACTATTAATTATTGAACTGCAAACAAACAAATGCAATCTTTCTAATACATTCTGCATAGCGCAAATACAATTTACTTATACTAGATCCGGGAAAGCATTCCTCCTGCTGATGTTTTAGATCTTATTAGGAAAATTAGATAAGAGCCCTGGCTAGTATGGAATTTATTTATTACGCAAGATGATCGGTAAACTCTGAGTAGCTCAGGGATTTGTTTGTGGCTCATGTGTATTTTTCTTTCTTTCATTCTCTTTGCACTCGTTATGTAGTATTCGATGGCGCAAACTTTCAGATGTGTGTTAGAGTGTACTTAGCAATAATCTCGGAAAAAAGCAAAGGTTTTTAACAAAATAAATATTTTCCATACGTTTACAACAAACGCAAATTTTAAAAAGAATTTTGCCGATCAGTATGTGTATATTTATATTTTTGCGAAATTTCTCTAATAGCACATATGGCCTCTATGATCTCTTCCTTTGCACTTATTATTTAATAATCTGAAAGGTTTCAGATTTTAACGGTCGCCCGAAAGGGTATGTTAAGGTTTTGAACGCTCTCGCTGAGCTTGTAGTCTAGCACTCTGCTGTTAATACTCATTCCTGCTAAACCTTTTTTTTTGGGGGGGGTCTTTTTAGCTTTATTATTAAGCATCATTTTCTTCGCACTTGTGCCTTATACAATTCGAGAACAAAATTTCAAAAGTAGTATACCTTTAGTTTTCCCAATGCTCTAGTTTTCCTAAATGTTGGCATACATTTTTCAGGGTGGTTTTTTTTTATCCCCAGTCTTCACTCAGTTCCTCATTTCAATGTTCGGTTTTCTTATTAAGATGGCTTTAAAAAACATAGTTTGTCTTTTAATTATTAATGTTTTTATGTTTATTTTATTTATTAAATATCATGTTGTTGGCGCTTACTCCAAGTAAAATTCGGTTCAACAGCAAAATCACAAAATGTTCAAAAACAGCATATCTTCAGAATTTCCGACAGAAACCACCCAGACGGTATAGTTGTTAAGAGAGCCTACTACGATAGCCAAGGGCCTGGCTTCGTATCTCGGAGAAGGCATGGTTGTAATTGTTTATCCCTTCATAGGAGGTAACGGTAACCCATCTATTAGATGCTTCCACAATAAAGTGACCACCACTTCCGGCCTTGGAGGAATACGTTATTCAAAATTCGACGGTTCTAGGAACCGTTGTTTTTTCAATGCGAGAAACATACATACATTTATGCAGATTCTTCATTATTATTTAATTTAATTTCTTTAAATATAATACAGGGCGATAATATTTGGTGGCAAAAATTTGAAAAGTTGTACAATGCTTTTAGTGATTCAACGCAAAATGGCATTTCGAGACTAATATTACATTACTAAGGTCCTTTTGGGGCTAATAATAAATAGGATGAGCGCAAATTTCTAAACCAATGCTAGGACAAAATCATTCTTTTGTTGTTGTTGTTACCATGGACCTTATAAGAGATAGACTAACCCAGTGGGCGGGGCGCGCGTCACCGACATGTCGGCAAGAAAGAGTAGGGACGATCTGGTTTACTTTAACACTGAAACCTATGGCGTTTGTATCATATAACTCTTTTTAATTATTAAATGTGATACGTTGTATAGTAATGAGATTATGAAAGCCACAGTTTTTTCCAAATAGGATTTAATATATCTCATTAAAGCACTTTTTACTGAATTTCGCGCATTTTTTTCACGCATAATTCTTGTACAAACATCTTTACTTTGGTAAAAGGTAAAAACTCTAAGCACAAAATTTATGAACTTAATTTTGCGTAAAAATAAAGTAAAATTAAATAAGATTGATAATACGCGATGCTTTGAAATAAATAAGGTAAACTTAAACAAGATCTGATAATTTTTTTTCATTTAATGAAAATTTTCAGGCAGTGATTTCACAAACTATAATAACATTACAAACAAAACGATCATATTTATTTGATTATATGATCATTAAATTATTAACATTAAAGTGAATTAATTATTTTAATAATTCATAAAATTCGGAGCATAAAATTTTCTGAGCGTAATGAAGGGGGGGAAGATAAAATAAAATCTAGAAGCACTCAGATTTTATATTACGCCCAAAAAGAACCTTTTCTTTAAAGTTTTGTGTGTAACCTATATTTATTGAATGTCATGTTCTTCGCCGGTAAACCACACACATTTAAAAACAGCATATCTTTAGAATTTCCGCACTGGGGATAAAACTCGGGTTCGGATGGAGGATTACGTTATTGAAAATTTGATGGCTCTAGATACTGTCGTTTTTCTCACAGTACAAGAAACATACATGTAGATTCTTCATTATTTAATTTCTTTAAATATAATACAGGACGATAATACTTGGTAACAACAATTTGCAAAGAGACACGAGCACATACAGTAAAACAGCGCAAAATGCCGCTTCGAAACTAACAGCCTTTCTAGGCTACCGCCGCTTTGGGCTAATAAATTAAATATACAGTAAATTTTAAAAAAATCTTATGCAGAACTAAAAATAAATTTGAAAAAATAATCACTATAAAATACAAGCAAAATTAATTATTACGGTTAAATACAATTTTAATATTAGAATTAAAGGTATAAAAATTTTTAAGGAGTCAAAAGTGTTTATCACTGTGATGTATTATGAAATATAATTCAAATAAAATTCCTTTATAGAAATTGTGCTATAATACTCATCTATAATTTTAAAAAAGCAGCACAATTTAGAATTTTAAACAAAACTTTCAAAAATTCGTTTTTAAATATGTAAGTACTTTTTACTTATTTACACCAATAAAAAGCATAAAAATTGCAAGAGAAAATTGCTTGTTTGAAATTTTCTATTAGTTCATATTTAAAATATTATTTCTAAAAGAAGTAGTTACAAATTTCCTTATAGCATAAGAAAAGCTTAAAAAAATATGCAGCCCTGAAAGCATGCAATAGCTTTTTAATTATTTGGAACATTAATTATGCTTGATAAATATGCTAAATTTTTAAAAACCAATCTCAATTTCAAAAATAAAAATATGTAAAAATTCTAATTTGTGAAATGAGGCGCTACAACCAGCTTTTTCTTGACAATTATACACGCTGCAATAAGCAACCAATGTTAAATTTCTGTAAGTCGTCCTTACTCCTCCGGATGTGATCAAGGTGACAGCCGGCAACGCCTAAGACGAGGGAGAAAACCCATTTGGGTTAGTCTATTTCTTATAAGGTCCATGGTTGTTACTTATCTTACGTGTTTGAGAGCAAGATCAGAACAAGGCCATGGAATTCATCTTTGGCAAGGAGTGTCAGATTTTGCCTGGCTTTGATAAGAGCCTTGAGCACCGTATAGGTAACAGTACGATTTGGTTCAGTTCCGCCCCGGATATAGAGCACCCCGGAGGGATGGGTCCGAGAGTCTCCCATCTAATACCATCAACCTTTTGAGATAACTTCTTGACAGCTGCATAATTAGAGTGCCCCCCTGCCGTAGAGACACTATAAATTTACAAATATCGATACCTTTTTCGGAAGTTGAACACGGGGAATTAGGTATGGCAGACAGAGTTATTAACCACTACCTCGATTGGGCAGCATTTAACATTACTCTATGTTTCAAAATGTCAACGTTTTTAACAAACTCCCTACCTATTGGTTCATAAAATTTAGTAGCTTTTTGATTTTTCAGAATCGTATATATACCATTCGTATACACTGCAATTCTTCAATAAACAATAGGCACTTTTAAATAGATTTTACGGCATTAAGAGGTCTCAAGTAATTATTAAAGCGATACGACGAATATTTTACAATTATGCAAAACCCATTTTAAGCCTTTATATTTCGTATCATTACTATTTATAAATGAAATTATGTTTTCATAACCTATTTTTAATTAATCGGTTGTTACACCTCTTTTGAAACAAAGAACGCTGCAAATCAAACTTGCAAAATGTGATCCATTTTATTAACATTAAAATAAGGAATGGTGTAACGCTTTTCTTTAGAAAACTATTTTTTAATCCAAATACCAATTTTACTAGATTTGTTGGAAACAAATCTAAACAAGATAATGAGAAACGTTTCATTATTAACTCTGTGCTTACCATTTCTGGAAATTTGAGGTACGCCACTTCCGGTGCTCGTCATCCTGACAGGAAGTACATTTACTCATATGAAACCAGATTATTCGCCAGAATACGATTTTCTCATTTGCTTTCTTTTATGCTGAGTTTATTTTCACGAAATCCCACTCATGGATTTAGCTAGATTATCAACAAAAAACTGGATTCTGCTGGTTCATCTGGTTATCCCAATACTGAGTAAGTCCTTCATACCTTAACCAATACCTATATTTTAATTCATTTTTTTTTAAACGGCACGTTTTGTAACTGTGAACTTCTGTAACAAATATTGTTCAATTCGAATCTCATGCATATACCTCACGAATTATAATAATGCAAAATATTTGAAATACTGTGTGTAAATTTGCATGAAATTGCGTTTTATGCTAATATTTCATTTTCAAAACGTAAAATTGCCTTGATGCTTAATTTTTAGAACTGAAAAAAAAAATCATGCCTTTTTTTTTTTTTTTTTTTTTTTTTTTTTTTTTTTTTTTGAAACATTTAAAAGTGTCGAATTATTTTCATGACGCTAAAAAAGTTTAAACTTAGGTAATCTGGTTTTCATTTCCAAGGTGTATATTAATCTGATACTTTAGTGTTTTAATTATGATACTTTAGTGTTTAATATTCTGTTGAGAATTTAATATCAGTTTATAGCCTTCACTATTGGAAGCAAAAATATTCTAATCCAAAGTTCTGTGTGTTAATTTTGTACTAAATTAAGCTTTATAATTAATAAATTAACCATATTTTACTATTTTAATTCTTACTGTACAAATAAATCTTAATTTCAATTAGTCATAATAAACATATGCATCCCAATAAAGCGGCATTAAAAACTTTTCTTTAGTACCTAACTTAAGTCACGTATCAGAGGATCTATTCGCTTTTATGTTTGTGTTTAATCATGAATAAAATATTATTTAATGCCCCATAATCTGTCTTCCCCAGCCCCAAACAGAGTCATAAACTCCATATGATGTACGGCAATTTGTCTAATACAGCATGAGGGTTGTAAGCTTAAAATACACTTCTGAAAAATTTTATAAAAACAGTCTGAGGATTTAAAAGTATATTAAGATACTCGTAGTTTATTTTTTATTTCTAATTTTTGCGTTAAAGGAGAAAAAAGTTAAGAGGTCTTGTAACTGAGATAGTACGGGAAGCGTAATGGCAGACCGCACATTGAGTTGAACAGTGTTAAACGAATGTCGCATACTGCGCATGCCCAGAAACAATTTGGCGTAATTACTATGTTGGCGCGATTTGAAAAGAAGATAAATACGGTATATGGTAAATGTATCGCCATCTAATTGTAAACAAATCTGGCGTTTAAATCTTCGTAGAGTATAATGTAAATGTAAATTAATTACTGTGTTAAAATACTATTTTTTTGCTATACTGCTCAAACAACTAGAGAGCTGAAATTATTGCCAAGTAATGTGAAGCAGTGTTTACATTCAAAATGTAAAATATAATACTTATGAAATTCTGCACATTCCTTTGGAACTGTACAAATTTTCGTTCAGAAAAAGACTGAAATTTAGGATATATTAATTGAAAATTTATTCATTATACTTTTAAGCAATAAAACAATTCAGGATTTACCATACGTTCCATTCGTACATACATAAAGAAACACTGAGGAACATAACAAGTGCTTGCAGATAACACTGAAGAAATTTTACAATTCTTTAATGCTAGTTATCAAATTCTTTGAAATGAGAAAATAAAAGCGCGAATATACGCTAACAAACTAAGCGAGATACTCCAGTTTACAATTACTGAATTATAACATGTAAACAAATTACATTTAAATAACGAATTATTACGAACATATGTTAACAAATATTAAATGCACTGTTATTGACAAATTAAAATGAAACATATATTAGAAAAATAAGCAAGTGCAATCGGCATGGACGTTAAAATAACTAATAAACAAAGTTCCACAACAGTGCAGTTTTAAACATCCACTCGAACACACTCGGCAGCCATGGAGATCACGAATAAGCTAACGTAGGGTTGCTTAGTCGCCAATATTTCTCCCAGCGCCAAAGGTACACCATCAAGCATGCGCAGTAAGCGAAATTCGCTTAACACTGTTCAACTCAATGTGCGGTCTGCCATTACGCGTACGGGAATATGCATGAAATAGTACTGCTTACAGTTTAGATGAAGATAAATATTTACCATTTGTTTTCTTAAACAAACTGTTTTCAATGCGGAAAGCATGTTATCGAAATACAAAGTATAGAGGCTGTTCGAACATTTTTAGACGATTCCATTCTAATTACAGAAATATTTTACCTAAAAATATAAAAGATAAGTTAAAAATAGCTATAAAATGAAAATTAGAAGATGTATATACTTCCAATTTATGATCAATTTGCGATATTTACTTTTTAGAATTTTTCAGAGGTAACCATGAAATTTATTGCAGTCATGCAAAACTTATGTTAGAGATCAAAATCATCAAAATTTCGATTTCGCAGGGGATTCAAAATTTCAGTCTCCTAAGACAGTGCAGTCTAACTACTAAAGTGATCTTCATTTTGTCCTTTTCAAATCCGTAATCTGCAGGTAGAAAAGTTCCTAGCACTGATTCTGGTAACTCGCTGGAAAGCATTAATTTCAATTACTCTTTTATTGAGAAAAGGAAGGCTTTTTTTAAAAATAAACGAAATAATTTGAGAGCTGATGGACATGGGTCAGCTGAAAATCTTAAATTATAATTAGTTAAACTATTCTACATACTCAAACTGCTTTATTTTACAGCCTGTCAACCGCCAGATGTCCCTTTACACGGATCCTACACGCCGGAACGTAAAAAATACGAGCTTGGTGACGAAATTCGATATTCTTGCCAAACTGGTACTTTACTAGTCGGTAAATCTTCTAGAAAATGCTGGAATGGTGGGAAATGGTCTGGTTCTACTCCATTTTGTGGTATGTGTTCTGTTTTAGTACATCCTGTTTATCTGTAATATAAGCATTCTTTTCAAAATGCAATATACTCGGATATCACTTGGAAGGAAATAGAAATAGAAGTTTCAAAAATGACACATTAATTTTTTCATTTGTAAGCGCGTATATGAGTAAGACCACAGTGTTTTTCACTGCCCTTGCATAGATATACCTTACTTGTAGTGTTCGTGCATTTTCCTACAACATGCAATAAATATTCGAACACTGTACCTTAAACGAGATTTTGATCTCCTCTATACCCGTAAACTTACAATGGATTTCTGTATTATTCGTTCTTAGCCTTGCTAACTACTGTGCAGAAGGGCCCTGGTTCGAATCCTGCAGAAGACAGGGATTTTTGTAAATGTATAGTGTCTGTATGGCATGGGGGGCACTCTAATTATGCAGCTATTAAGAAGTTCTCTCAAAAGGTTGATGGTATTAGATGGGAGACTCTCGGGCCCATCCCTCCGGGGTGGTCTATATCCGGGGCGGAAGTGAACCAAATCGTAATGTTACCTATATGGTGCTCAAGGCTCTTATCTAGGCCAGGCAAAATCTGACACTCCTTGCCAAGATGAATTTCATGGCCTTGTTCTGATCTTGCTCTCAAACACGTAAGATAAGTAACAACCATGGACCTTATAAGAAATAGACTAACCCAAACGGGTTTTCTCCCTCGTCTTAGGCGTTGCCGGCTGTCACCTTGATCACATCCGGAGGAGTAGGGATGACTTGCAGAAATTTAACATTGGTTGCCTATTGCAGCGTGTATAATTGTCAAGAAAAAGCTGGTTGTAGCGCCTCATTTCACAAATTAGAATTTCTACATATTTTTATTTTTGAAATTGAGATTGGTTTTTAAAAATTTAGCATATTTATCAAGCATAATTAACGTTCCAAATAACTACAAAGCTATTGCATGCTTTCAGGGCTGCATATTTTTTTAGCTTTTCCTGTGCTATAAGGAAATTTGTAACTACTTCTTTTAGAAAATAATATTTTAAATCTGAACTAATAGAAAATTTCAAACAAGCAATTTTCTCTTGCAATTTTTATGCTTTTTATTGGTGTAAATAAGTAAAAAGTACTTAAATATTTAAAAACGGATTTTTGAAAGTTGTGTTTAAAATTCTAAATTGTACTGCTTTTTTTAAAATTATAGATGAGTATTATAACACAATTTCTATAAAGGAATTTTATTTGAATTATATTTCATAATACATCAGAGTGATAAACACTTTTGACTCCTTAAAAATGTTTATACATTTAATTCTAATATTAAAATTGTATTTAACCGTAATAAATTATTTTGCTTGTATTTTATAGTGATTATTTTTACAAATTTATTTTTAGTTCTGCATAAGATTTTTTAAATTTACTGTAAATTTAATTTATTAGCCCAAAGCGGCGGTAGCCTAGAAAGGCTGATAGTTTCGAAGCGGCATTTTGCGCTGTTTTACTATATGTGCTTGTGTCTCCTTGCAAATTGTTGTTACCAAATATTATCGTCCTGTATTGTGTTTAAAGAAATTAAATAATGAAGAATCTGCATGAATACATGTATACAGGCGTAAACTTGCGATCTTTGCCGCGGGGAATTTCGTAGGCTTGGACTGACTATAGGTCAGACAAGTGAGCATTAGTCAACAACAACAATAATTATTCTGTCTACAAAACGCTTTACAGAATTATAATCTGTAATATAAGCATGCATCTATGCTTAAATAATTATAAATAAACATACTGTGCCAACACACATTTCAAATTCAATAAATAACTTTATTTGCTTCATTAAGTAAACATTTTATAAATAAATGGGAATGCATTAAAAGAAGTAGTTATGCAGAATGGCAGAAAGCGCAAAGAAATTTTCGTTGAGGATCCTCTTGAAATTATTGATTAAATTTGATAAATCTTCCCATTATGAATATTAATCCTTCATCGTGATGGGAGCACCCGCTAAATGATGCTTACGTTTATCTTCTTTCTCTGAGCTGAGTTGAGGAAAGGAAAATATAAAATGGAACTTCTTTCGTTCCGTTGAACGTTTAAAAAGTTAATAAAACTCCTTGATACAAGTAACTCTCAAAAGAAATAGCTTTTAGAATTTTTAGAAGTTTTCTGATGATATATCAGATGTATATAATAAAAATGGCTGGAATGTATTTAGAATTATTCTTCTTAATAAATGGCATAGATGCTGAAGTACAAAAAGTAATAAGCAAAATAAATTTACATTTACCCTTTTTTTATCACGGCATATGTTTTATTAAAATTTGATAAATAATTCTGACTTTTTTAGATTTTTATAGGGCAGTTATCAAAAGTGGATAAAATAACCCACCCGGGGAGCAACGCTTACTTTAAGATTTGAAGGGAGTCGAAATATTGGCATTAATTTTATAATATCATAATAAGATTAAATTAAATTTATCCCAAAGCTTAATTGTGTTTTACGAACAGTAACATTCATTCTCATCATAGGATTCCTGCTGTTGTATCTGATGGAATGAGGTTTTTGTTCTGTAAGTAAAATTTTGACAAAACACAAGAATCGTTGAAGGTGGTTATTTAAGAAATCTATGATTAAATCTTGATTGTAATATACTGAAAAATTATTAACGTTTCGTCAAGATTACTTATTCTAAGTTTAAATTTTAAATTATCATCATTACTAAAGTAATACTAATATAATGAATAATAAACATGATACTTTTATATGACTGTATATGTGAATAAAATGAAATAATTAACTATAACCATATAATATTAATTATATATATATATATATATATTTATTATACTATCTTTCTACTATTTTGTAAATTTAATAACCGTCAAATCTTCTAGCGCTTACTAGAAAAATGGGGTTTCTAACTTCAAAGACGTATTTTACCCCGATTTCGTGAAAACTTTTATCTTTTATAACATATATTTTTCCTTTTCCTCTACTTTGAGACAGTACTGCTTACGCGTTTTAAGATTTTGCAGAAAGCACATCCTTTAGAAGTTTCTTACGCCGCCATTTTGTAGTCGGCTATCACTCTCTTCGCAGGTAATAATTTTTACTGACACCGTATCCAACGTTTGGCACAAAGTTTAACAAGATAAGATAATTTGAACATATGTTTAAATACTTTGTTCTGCTATTGGACACTTTGAACCTGATCGCATACTTTTTCCAAAAACTACATTTATTTGCATCTCCAAAACAGCTTTAAATTTTTAAAGAAACACAGTTTAGTCGTCTGAAGAATTAAGTATATTTTCGTTTAGAAAGTCGTCCTAAGACTTCAGTAAGTTTGCGGGTTTTTTTTTTTTTTTTTTTTTTTTTTTTCCCCAATCAGCTTTTAGCTGATAAGGTTCAGATTTTATTTTATTATTTAAAGAATATTTATGAAAAGTTTTTCGTTTGTTGGTATTATTAGTTTAGCATAATCGGGGACCGCCTAATTTTTTGAATGTTGTTTAAATGGCAATTGGGTTTAAAGTACATTTGTTTTGCTCTTTATATTTATTTGCTTTTAAATTTCGGAGAACGAAACACGTTTTCGAAACATATTAAACAGCTTGTATGAAGCTTTAATTCATTTTCCCCTAATGAGTTACGCATTGGAGTCTCAGTCAAATGAGATTAATTTTTATTATTTTGTATATTTTTCCCTTTTGCATTTTTATTTTTAGAGTTCTGTGAATTCTTATTTTATTTTTAATTTGATTTAGATATTGTGTTAAACCTCTTATACACGGTTGCAATTATTAATATTTTGAAGAATTGCCTTCCTTCAACTCCAATATATATATATAATATATATCCGGCTTTATTTTTTCAACTGTTGGTCGTAAACATATAAAAAAATTAAGAAATCTAACTTTTTATACACTCCCTCCGGTCCCTACATTAATGTTTAGGGAAATGTTACACTCGCTATAAAATTAAAACATAAAATGTTTGACCCCGTATGACAAAAATTGACCGAGATATTTAATTTCAGTATTTGCCATTTCCGATGTCATTTTCACTTTGCATTGAGTGGTTAGTTGATAAATAACTTAGAATAATTCAAGATTTATTTTTCTGGTTTTAAATTTTATTTAATGAAATTCTTTTGCCATTTACTATTGTCTTTAATTTGTAATTTCGTTACATTCGATACACCGAAAGTATATTTTCACAGTAGTAATTTATAAAAGTAAAGTCTAAACATAAGTTATTAATATTCTCATGAAGATTTATCACTTTAAAATCATTATCTGATACTCGTACAAAAAAATTTATTAAACTAAATAGTTCTCGTTTTGAATTAATGCAAATAATATTGCACGTTGGTTATGTGCTAATACTTAATCCTGCCAGTGCTTTCTAAAACACGAATTCTATGTGAATAAAATCAAATCTCCATTTTGAGCAGAATTATATTCGTTTAAACTTTTCACAGTAATTTACATAGAAATTCTCGTCACTTATTCTCTTAACAACCAAAGCCCTTCTCTAAACTGATGTTTTATTTTTAGTTACATTCAAATGCAAGCATTTCGTTCTTCAATTCGCGTATGATCCCGAATGTGCTGTTCGAGTTATAGTAATAGTATAATTAACAAGATATTTCTTTAATTCTAAGAAAGTAACGTATTTCTTCTTATGCAATAAGAAGTGGTTACTGCATCTATCAGCAAATGAAAGATCTGTGGCTCGAATCTTGAGTAGGTAAAAGTTGGTTTTTATTGCTCCTTTTATCTCATAATAAATCTAGTAGCCTTACTGTGGCTCCGAACCAAAAACGTAGTGGAAATTAATTCGTCTGACATGGATTTAGTCGACTGTGTCTCTTGTCTTTCCCTAGTCAGTAGGGGAGAATATGAAGAATTATCGCTTCCATCCCCATACGTGCATAGTTAATATTTGTTTAATATTTCGAAAAAATCTAATGCTCTACAAGGTGGTGTAAAATTAAAAATGCAATGGAACATAATTTCTC